TGAACCAATATATGTCGTACAAGAATCCATTTATGAAATCGCAAAGTCTGCTATAGACATGAAAAGGATTATCAATATCTCAACATACTCACATATTCATTAAGATTCGTGCACAATATAGGCCATGTTGACCGCCTATTTATAAAGCCTAAAATAAATTTTTTTTTCACAAGGAAAAATACTCATACGTAAACTATAATAAGGAAACAATCGAATAAGCTATTTCCAAACATAAAAGAATTCTAAAATATTAAAAACAAAATTTAAATTAAAAACGTTTAAAACTAAATTAAATAACTTCAACTTCAAGTCGACTTCACAATCACTCTTTTAAACTCGCGTAGACATTTGACTGTGCAAGCGGAACAACTTCAAGCTCAATTTAAACATTGTTCCACTTCTAACCTCTCTCCTCTCAAAACATAAATGTGTTAGTTCTTTCAGTTGGCATTCTATAGCAGTTTGTATCACTTTTATTGGACATCACATTAGATAGTTATAACTTGAATGGTGAAGCTGCTAGAAATATACGGGAATTTTGGGATGCATGAATTTCGACTTGTCCAACGAATTTTCCACTTTCTTTTCTTCCAAACCCACACCATAAAACATCTCAAAATTCTGATTCAAGCCTTTATTTTGCAAGGTCATCTCAAATAATGTCTTTAACCTCTTGTAATTTTATTCCTTCCAATTCTTCATCTTTGATGTAGTCAGGATTGTATCATACTCTCCCTCTTTAAAAGAATTTGTTCTCGAATTCGGACCGGTATCAACTGGAGTACATGCATGTACATTATTTTTCACGATTAAGTCTTTTCAATGGTGGTAAAATATAATTCAATCGTTCAGAAATAATATCATTCGACCCCTGCAAAAAGTGAATCAAAACCACTGAATAAAGAAGAGCTTATGCTAGCCATAGAATCTAAGCCATCCATCGTTTGCCCCTCGTTATACTTTCTTTCACCTCTATAGAATATTCATGGCTTATCATTATGATTAACAACCACTATCGGAACAACTTTACAAAGAACAACATCTTTGTACTTCTTAATAGAGAAACAACTACTTGCTTATGCACCTTGACTTCTCCATCAATATTAAACCATTGTAGCTCATAAGGTCTAGAATATCAAAGTTTGATAAATCAAGTTTTACACCAAAGTATTTCGAACGACATAAGTAGAACCACCTTCACTCTTATGCACTAGTTATGAAAACTATTATTTCTTTGCATCATATCACCATATTCTTCGACTTGCATTGGAAGAGTTTGCAATCCGATTAACTCAGCAATAGCTCGATTACTTAAATGCGTATCGTATCATCATACAATTGAATACTAAATTTAGAAATAATTCAAGAAAATCATTTGAGTTTTAAATGAAGACATTAATCTTGCATAAACCCTATTGTACATGTGTTGTTGAAATCATGCATCTATCAAATTCCGTCCTATAATTAACGACATTAATTATTAGCGGATTAATGATGTAAAAGGGGATTTCATAATAAATAAAGCAAAGGATGTTTCACCCAATAAATTACTCTTTTTTTAAAAAGAAAAAACTTGCAATTTTGTTCAACATGTTTTTCAGTAGATAGAACATAATCTTCCATCTTCGACAAAGTTGCTATGTCATGAGCTACTTGGTTTGCTTCTCTGAAAATGTGTTGTATTTGAAAATGCTCAAACCATTCTCTCTCCCCCGTTAAATATCCTCAAAAATATTCTCGTAGATGGCTTCGGATATTGCAGGTTCAGAGACTGCGCAAATAACCTCCACCGAGTAACCTTCAAGTACAATCCTTCTCCAGTTATTTGTTTGAATCATTTCGACAACCATGAACGCCGCTTGAGTTTATGCCGTCATGTGGAGTCCAGAGATTGCTTAACGCAAAGTTCTTCACATTTGCACAAATCTTAATAATCTCAATGAATGTATTTTGATTTTAGAAAATTAAATATTGTTACTAATCCATTCATAGAGCTAGAGCAATGGAGAGTTAATAAAAACACAATTGAAATATATATTTAATTAATACAATACTGAAATTACAAAATAACAGATAATATGGAATAAAATAGTTTCATCTCGAAAATAACATATATTGTGCAAAGGAGTAAATAATAAATATAATATTGCAGTAGAGTTTAAATCCATGTGTTCTTTAACCTATGTTCAATGGTTAGTAGGAAACATAAAGGCAAAAGAGTTCCACATTTGAACCCTGCATTCTCGGTAGTTGCTTCCATTAACCCTCCATCTTCCATGTTAAAATGGTTATTTTATACTACACTCATTAAATGTTAGTGTACTTATCAATGGTAAAAATCCAACCGGTGTATTTCATCCAGGATATATAGTATAAACTGTTAAAAAGTAACCATTTGAAACTAGCGATGTGAACCGGCCGACCTCGTTGAATTTTTTTTTCTTTGTTTTGGCTCGAGCTCGATTCTTTTTTGTCGAGCTCAAGCTTGAGCCAAAGTTCATTTTCGATATTCTTTTTAAAATTATTTAGATTATAATAAAAAAACATATAAAATAATCAGTAAACTGTAATTTTATATATATATATATATATATATATATATTTCTATAATATTAGATACATTTTTTAAATAAAAAAATAATGTATAAAAAAAAAAAAATTAAAGCTCTCGAGCCGGCTCTTGAGCTCAGGAGCAACTAAAAAAAAGCTCAAACTCGAAAAATTCAAGTTCGTGATTTTTTGGAGCCAACTCATCGAGCTCACGAGTCGGCTCAACTCGTTGACCACCCCTGTTCGAAAGAACTCATACTTTCCTAAAGCGCAAAACACAAGCTAATTAATTGTAACTACTACTAATTAATTGAAGCATCTCCCATTTAATTCCCAATGAAAATTTCATACCATAGACGACTCATCAAGCCTCTATAAAATCTCTTCATACACGTAAATATATATATATATATATATATATATATATATATATATATATATATATATAGGTCAAACCATCTGAAACACCTAAAACTCATATCTTCATCATCTCAGCTGCTTCAAAACTGACAACAATGGCGGATATATATCAAACTACACGGGCGGGCTAATGGAGAGCTCCAAGTTGATTTGCGGGACCAATAACAATTCCTTCTCTTCAGACAAACCACTGCTGCTGCTGCTGCTCGATAATTCCTCGGCACCGGCTGCAATAACAACCCTAAAAGCACCACCGACCATTGCCGCCATCATGGGAACGTCGTCGTTTTGCATGGAAGCTGGAAACCCAGTTTTAGGGTTTTCTTCTTCGCGAGGTGCGTTAATGGCGGCGGCGGCTGGTTTCGTCGTAACGGGTTTGTGGTTTTGGGGATCGATTCCTCTGCCGATGAGTTTTCTTTTGATGTGTGTGTTCCAGTAGTTCTTTATTTCATTGTCCGTTCTTCCCGGCAACCGCGCAGCTATTAACGACCATCTGTTAATTATATTTAATTTAAATTTAATTAATTAATCAAGAATATATTTAATACTTTATTACAAACAAAAAAAAATTAGGGAGCAAATAGAATCTATGTGTGCAGATAAAAAGTGGGTTTCTTCTAGATATGATCGAATACTATGAATTCAGAATAAAGTGTGTTATATATATATATATATATATATATATATATATATATATATATATATATATATATATATATATCTATAAATTAATAGAGTCAGTATGGACTACTAGAAAAATTCTATTAATTTAGCGAATTATTAAATTATTGAGTTAATAATTTAACACATTTTCACCGAGTGGGGACCGAGAAAAATTATTATTTAATCAAGAATGTATCTAATGTCAGTTATAGTGGGTGTTGTGTGTGTAATTTGAAAGAAATGAAGAGGATATTTTTATAATATGTACCTCTATATTAATTAAATTAATAGGATCGGCTCTATAAATTAATAGGGTCGGGACCAGCAAAATTCTATTAATTTAGCGAAATATTAATTTATCGAACTAATAATTTAGTAGGTTTTTACGAGTCGGGATCAGAAGAAACTATTATTTAAGGGACGTTATTAATTTATCAAGATTATATACTATGTGCGGCGTACTTGTTTCCGAGCAAGCTATGGAGATTGATGATGACGTCATCCTCTTCTCGGGTGAAATTTCCTCTCTTGAGATCAGGGCGGAGGTAGTTTATCCACCGGAGCCTGCAACTCTTGCCGCATCTAAGCAAACCTACGACGGACCAAAACGAACAAAAATATTTAGAAACCGGTGTTTAGAGTAATTTAAATAAACTCGAGGGGCTAAAAAGAAAACCTGCAGATTTGGGAAGGGACCTCCAGCAGCCTTCGCCGTGTTGTTTGACATAGCTGATGAGACGTTCGTCTTCTTCTTTCGTCCACGCGCCTTTGTTTGTGTGCTCTTTCTCACAGCACGGAGATCTCCCCATATGTATAGATACAGATAGATACACACACACAGTATGTGTGTAGTTACACACAGTGGAGAGTGAAGAGTAGTACTAGAGCAAGTGAGAGAGTGAAGGGAGAAGTCAAAAGGGAAGTTTTCTTTCTTTCCTTTTTCCTGCAGAAAAAAATGGGTTTTGTGGGAATTTAAATTAGGGGGTGGGTGGGTGGGGTGGGTGGGGTAGGGGGTGGGGGGTGGTGTTTGACCAAGTTGGTAAGAAATAAGAAATATCAAATATGAGTGGTTGGGAATGTAATTAAGTGAGTGCTTGGATTTTGGTAGGTAGCTCTGCTTTTTATGTTTGTTGGATTTATTTGCTCTTTTTCCACTGTTTTAGTCCCTTACATTTCTTTATTTGCATCTCATGCCCCTCGTGTACTTTCATTTCTTGCATTCCCGCCCCTATTATTTTTTACTATTCTTCATTTTATACCCATGTATATTGTTTCAACGTTAAGAAAATAAAAATTACATTATTTTTTTATAAACATCAGAAGTCAGTTTGCCGATATTACCCCACCAACCGGATTTTGAATAAACATAAAACCACCGATTGACCTATTTATATATGGATCGGTTATGATTACCGGTCCAACAACAAAGTTATCAGCTGATAAAAGCGGGTTGATTGGCCGATAAAACCGACTCATGTCCAGCCCTACTTGTATGCAAGGTTGTAAAAAGCGGTAATCGGGTCGGAGGCGGTCAGGCACCGACTCACGATTAATCAGTGCGGCGGTGATTAATCGGTGATGAATTGAAAATAAATTGGTTTTTTAAATTTAATATAATATATTTCTAGATATTATTTATAAATACTCAAAACATATATAAAAAGATATTTAAATATAATTATATCTCCATCATGTATATATCCTAATAACATAATAAAAGTTTAATAATAATAAGATCATAATACATAAATATCCTTATAAAATATAAATAAAAATACAATTTTTTTGAATTTACATTTATTCTTGAACGTTCCTGGCATACGTCATTATTTCTTTAGCAATAACAGTTAACATAAACAAAATAAAGCATACACTCATATTGTTTTATTAAAATCCCAACTTTTATTTTAAATTAAAAAAAAAAAAAAAAACCGATTTTAGACCGATTTTTGCCACCGAGTTTGACCCGTCTTAGGGTTTTACCGCCCCAGACCGCCTAAAACCGTCTCACAAGCAAAAAAACCGATTTTTCAAACTTTGACACTTAAATCATAAAGTTTTGGACCGTCTCGGCCCATTTTTAGAACACTGCATGTATGTATGTAATTACTGTAGTTTTATGTGTGTATTGTTGAAATAAAATTTTAGATAATGGTGGAAAAGTCATTGAATATTAATTCATGGAGTAAATTGCAAATAAGAACTTTCTAGGGGTACGCATATATAAAACTAATTTGTGAAGAGAAAAAGCTATGGGTGGGTGGTTGCAAATTCCATATATTCTGCAAGATTTTAAATGTTTGTACCATCCCCACCAAACGTTGTTTCACCTGTAATAAATTGCTTTGAAATATGTAAAGTGTAAACCACATTAGCTTAATTATGTCTAATTAGCCTAAGAAAAATGATCTTAACATAATAAATATTGACAATGAGATTCGAATTTGAATTCACAAACTAGGTCACCCCTTGCAGGTATTATTTGGTTTCTTCCGTACCTGTTTTGCAAATTTCACCGATTATATTATATCATGCGCGTGTATAATTATTAATTCGTACATATTTTACATCCGTTTGTGTATATATACATAGGGGCAGATCCAAGGTATATTCCTATTTTTTCAACTTCGCTTTGTTACTTCATTAATTTGTCATAAATGCTGGTGTAATTTTTAACTAATATTTTGCTATTATTTCACAAATATAATACAATGACATATGATTTAGTTATATTTTTATGTTAATTACACAATTCAAATAAGTATGTTATATACTACCATTTTCCAAAGAAAAGATGCTAATTATTAGTATATTTGAAAATAAAGGCCAATAAAGAAATTAAATTAATTTTAGTTTTAACTACCATGAATAAAATAAAAGTGAATTAACGAAAATAATTTCAAAAATTAAAAAACAAACGAACTCTCTACATGCAAACACCAAACAATTAATATATGCATTATACATTTAATGTTTCTTGTAGATGTTATATCTAAATGAAGTTTGATTGATATCATCTCACCCCATATTTACATACCATCATCACACATAATTATAATTTATATTAGATTATGAATCTATTTCTATTAGATGAATAAGTATTTTCTAATTGGGAGTATTTTCTCATCCCTATATAAAAAATATAGTAGATTTTTTTTTAATATTGTATCTCTGTCTCGTTATTCAATAATTGTTGAATTCGGGTATTCTCTACTCTTCTAAGAGTACACGTGTCACCTGAACCAGCAGATGTAGCTTTCAAAATTATTATTTTTTTGTGTTATGATATTTTGGATATATATTGGTGAGGTGCAGAAAATTAACAATGGTAATTTGCTTCTAGAAGGTTTTTATTTAATAATAAAAAATAATTGTAAGAAAGGGTGTAATTATTGTTTAAACCAGTGTAACGACAGAATGTTGTAGTGTTAGGTGACCCACCTCCGAGTGTCTTCCTTAATATCAATTAGTGGGGGTTAATTATTGTTTTTCTTACGTTGTTATGTTCTTGTACTATATATATTATGCGTTTTATTTTGTCTATCTTGTACTTATGCAACTTTTCATAGATTCCTACTCACGTTTCACTTCTAATTCTTATATTAGCAATAAAGTTACTTGAGTTACAAACCCATTTACTATATTGAATTATTGATATATAGCAGTGTTATAAAAATCGGCCGAGACGGCCTATTAAATAATCGGTCTCTGAGGTGGAGGCGGTCCCACACCTTTAAAAAAAATCGGGTTCTGGCCTATGAGCCGGTTTTAGGCTGTCTAAGACGGTTCGAGGCGGTCAAACCTTAAAGGCGGGTCAAATACAGGTGACAAAAATCAGTAAAAAATCATTTTTTTTAACTTTTTAACTTTTTTAATTCAAAATAAAAGTTGGGACTTTAATAAAAAAAAAATATGAGTTTATGCTCTATTTTGCTTATATTAACTGTTATTGTTAAAGAACCTAATGATATATGCTTGGAATGTTCAAGAAAATTTAAATAAAAAAATGCCTTTTATTTATATTTGATAAGGATTTATATTGTATTATGATCTTATGTTATTGAACTTTTATTATGTTATTAGGATATATACGTGGTGGAAATATAACTATGTTTAAATATTCTTTTACATATGTTTTGAGCATTTATAAATAATATCTAGAAATATATTTATTCCTATTTATCGCCGATTAATCACTGCCACACCGATTATTCGTGCGTCGATGCCTAACCCCTCCGACCCGACTTCCACTTTTTACAACTTGATATATAGTACATCATCAAACCAAAAAAACAATACAAACTGGACGATTTGCAACACCATGCACTGAAAAAATGGATTTATTGTCGTCGTATTTGGAAGAAGAGATTGAGCATGCAATTCGCCTGGAAGAAGAGATTGAGCATGCAATTCGCCTGTCAGAAAATAATGTTGAATCATCGACAAGTTGCCTTACATTTTCAATTTGATGGAAAACAAAATAAATAGTAATGTTCCATCTAGTGATGCAAGTGGTGTTTGCAAAGGTAACTAATATTTGCAATCGCAAAATTTTTAAGGACAAGATCTTACTTGATGCAAGACTAAAATATAAATAAATTCTTAAAACAAGTCTGAAAATTATAAATATAACCCCTATTGATTTTGATATTATTCCAAGTTAGACTGAATAACTATTGCAAGACCAAAAAGAGAAAGAAAAAAAAAAGAGAGAGAGAGAGAGAGAGAGAGAGAGAGAGAGAGAGAGAGAGAGAGAGAGAGAAATTGAAAAAGGAGAGGGAATGCTCTAGCGGGAGAAGAGAAGAACACAAGGCGAGAAGAATTGTCGCCGCCCATTCGCCGCCGAAGAATTGCCGCCGCCCAACCGCCGATGCTTGAAGAGGAAGAGAAGAAGAAGATGGAGGAAGGAGGGAGGAGGAGGAGAAGATGAAAATTCGATTTTTTGGCAAAAAAATTTAGATGTTGATTTATTGGCGAAAAATTGTCATGTAGATGTCGATTTTTGTCACAAAATACATGATACGAACCCCGTAATACTCGTTAGAAGACTCAATACCTTATGCAAAAGCAAAATTTGGAATGTAAAAAACGATGGAATCAAATTGGCACAATTAAAGAATAATGAACATATAGCTGATCTACCAAATATCCATGGTTTATCATCATGATTAGCAACCACTATCGGAACAACTTCACAAAGAACTTCATCTTTGTACTTCTTAATAGAGAATGCAACAACTACTTGCTTATGCACCTTGACTTCTCCATCAATATTAAACCATTGTAGCTCATAAGGTCTAGAATATTTAAAGTTTGAATAATCAAGTTTCCCACCAAAGTAATACGAACCACAAAAGTAGAACCACCTTCACCCTTATGGCACCAGTTATGAAACTATTATTTCTTTGCATCACGAAACCGTCTTCTTCGGCTTGTATGTATTGGAAGAGTTTGGAATTCGATTAGCTTAGCAATCGCTCGATTACTTGGATGTATCGTATCATCATACGATTGAATATTAAATTTAAAAATAATTCAAGAAAATCATTTAAGTTTTAAATGAAGGAATTAATCCTGCATAAATCCCTATTGTACATGTGTTGTAGAAATCAAGCATCCATCAAAATTCCGTCCTATAATTAACGACATTAATTATTAGCGGATTGGATTTAAAAGGGGACTTCATAAGAAAAAAATAAAGCAAAGAATGTTTCACCCAGTAAATTACTCTCTTTTTTAAGAAGAAAAAACGTTGCAATTTTATTCAACTTGCTTTTCAGCAGATGCAATGTTACATATTGTAATAGAAAAAACATCCGGAACATAAGCTCCATCTTCGACAAAGCTGCTATTTCAGCCACTTGGTTTGTTTCTCTGAAAATGTATTGTATCTGAAAATGCTCGAACCACTCTCTCTCCTGCTTAATATCCTCAATA